GGGCTGATGGGTGGGGTGGGGGGGCACATTTCATTTCACACACATGCACAAAGTGAGAGACTCACCAGTGGAGCAGCAGACGTAGACCCGTAGTCTGAGACAGCTGCGGCCGTGGTGATGGGTGGGCGTGGCTGTAAAAAAAACAAAAAAAGTCTGAGGTTGGAGAAGACTGTAATAAATGAGATGTTTGAAGTCAGAAATATATATATAAATATATATACAGGGAGGGGCTAAATACATTGTAGACATTAGATTGAACCAGGTGCAGTACAATTAATATTAAGGTGTGTATATATGTATGTTTATATATGTACGTGTATATGTATATATTTATAAATATATCTATATATGTATGTATGTGTATATATTTATGTACATAGGCATTATATATGTATGTCGATATATATGTACGTGTATATGTATATATTTATGAATACATCTATATATGTATGTATGTATGTGTATATATGTATATATGTACGTGTATATGTATATATTTATAAATATATCTATATATGTATGTATGTGTATATATGTATATGAGTATACAATATGAACATATAAGGTATATGTATATATATTTGTACGTAAATACATACTGTATATATTTATATATTGTGCATCTTTTTAAAGTTAAATATACAGATTATTCACAGGAAATTGTCCAGAAATCCGTTCCCAAAAATCCACTCACAGATGTAGTAGTATTCCTGTCCGACGTGGAACTCGTAGCCCAGCGAGAAGGCGCTGTAGCGCTGGAATTTCTCCGAAAACTTGATGGGAGCGTGGGGGGCGTGGGGCCGGTTACACTCCCACCTCTTGAAGCCCAGGTTGGGGTCGCAGTTCCTGTAGCCGCGGTAGCTGACCATGTAGAGGATGTACTGCTCCCCGGTGCCCACCATGCGCTGACTGTCGTTGTAGTGGGGGCAGTAGATGTCCAGGTAGTCGTTGACGTTCACCTGCATCGTGTAGCCCTCCCTGCGCAGACTGGAGACAAAGACACACGACGGGGCTGCATTAAGACAACGGCCCAGTTGAATCTTCAATCTTTAGAGCTGACGTTCAAAACTTCAAAACAACCACTGTTCTCTAACACAGGGGTGTCAAACTGTTGGTTCAGGGGCCACATGCGGACCGATTAGACGTCAAGTGGGCCGGACCAGTACAATCATAACAACGTTAGTTGTGACTAACAACAAGTCCATGTTTTTCCCCTTTGTTTTTTTATGCAAAAAAGAAGTAGAAATATATTAGAAAATATTCATATTCAGTGAAATATATGGATCATGGAGTGTTGGTGCATCATATTTTTTTTTTTACTTTCAAAAATTCATCAAGTGGGTCGGACCAGTACAATCGTAACAACGTTACTTTTGACTAACAACAAATCCATGTTCTTCGTTTTCATGCAAAAAATAAGTAAAAATTATTTATATAATTTTTACTAAAACATCATGATCATGGAGTGTTGGTGCATTATTATTATTATTATTTTTTTTTACTTTCAAAAATTCATCAAGTGGGCCGGATTGAACCCCCGAGCGGGCCGTTTTTGGCCCGCGGGCCCTATGTTGGAGACTCCCGCTTTAACACACTGAAGTCCATTCCTCAGCGCTGTATGAAGTCACGTGTTTCTCTGCTGCCGTCAGCCTGAGTGTGCACTGAGGGTCAAACAGATTTGTGTCTGTGAGTTATCAAGTTATAAATAACAAAAGGCAGCCGTGTGTGTGTGTTTGTTTGTGTGTTTGTTTGTGAGTGTGTTTGTGGCTGCAGGGACCGTGGAGCTGACTTTTTCGGCCCCAGGGCCACAGCTCCTCCTCCTGGTATCAGTGCAGCAGTGTCTCTAACCCCAGCGCTCGTTCATCAACCTGAGCAGCGTCAGCTGTCGACGTCCCCCGGCCCACGCTCATATATCAGTGTCAGCACCAAAAGAAGAGCGGCCCTGACAGGAAGATATGGTCTGGATCTGTGTTTGGGTGTATGTTTGTATGTGTGTGTGTTTGTGTGTGTGTGTGTGTGTGTCGTTTGTGTGACAAAGTGAAATAGATTCTTTCCTGACAACAGAAAGGACTGGGTTTTTTCACCATCACAGACACAGGACCATGTCAGTGTGACAGAGGCAGGCTGCAGTTGTAAATCATACACACATCAATGAACACACACACACACACACACACACACACATACACACATATACTTGTGTTGAGCACTTCACATAGATATAATACATTCTTCAGACCCTAACTTTAACTTAATGTCTTAATTCCCCGAAGGGAATCAATCAATCAATCAATCAATCAATCAATCAAT